GAGAGAGCAGACAGTCTCGCTAGAGAGAGAGCAGACAGTCTCGCTAGAGAGAGAGCAGACAGTCTCGCTAGAGAGAGAGCAGCCAGTCTCGCTAGAGAGAGAGCAGACAGTCTCGCTAGAGAGAGAGGAGACAGTCTCGCTAGAGAGAGAGGAGACAGTCTCGCTAGAGAGAGAGGAGACAGTCTCGCTAGAGAGAGAGGAGACAGTCTCGCTAGAGAGAGAGGAGACAGTCTCCCTGAGAGAGAGAGGAGACAGTCTCGCTGAGAGAGAGAGGAGACAGTCTCGCTGAGAGAGAGGAGCCGGTCTCGCAGCAGCAGGAGCCGGTCTCGCAGCAGAGAGGAGCAGGTCTCGCAGCAGAGAGGAGCAGGTCTCGCAGCAGAGAGGAGCCGGTCTCGCAGCAGAGAGGAGCAGGTCTCGCAGCAGAGAGGAGCAGGTCTCGCAGCAGAGAGGAGCAGGTCTCGCAGCAGAGAGGAGCAGGTCTCGCAGCAGAGAGGAGCAGGTCTCGCAGCAGAGAGGAGCAGGTCTCGCAGCAGAGAGGAGCAGGTCTCGCAGCAGAGAGGAGCAGGTCTCGCAGCAGAGAGGAGCAGGTCTCGCAGCAGAGAGGAGCAGGTCTCGCAGCAGAGAGGAGCCGGTCTCATTGCAGAGAGGAGCAGGTCTCATTGCAGAGAGGAGCAGGTCTCGCTGCAGAGAGGAGCAGGTCTCGCAGCAGAGAGGAGCAGGTCTCGCAGCAGAGAGGAGCAGGTCTCGCAGCAGAGAGGAGCAGGTCTCGCAGCAGAGAGGAGCAGGTCTCGCAGCAGAGAGGAGCAGGTCTCATTGCAGAGAGGAGCCAGTCTCATTGCAGTATTACAGGTACATTTAGTTGCTTTTAAGAATTTATTTCTTTTTAAGAAAAAAAAAAAAAAAGGGACACTCGTACGTTAAATATCAATATATAGTATAACTGATAGAGTGGCCCTTACATGAAACTAATTTCCCATTTATAAGTCACATGTTGTATATGAGCTAACTGCCAAAAACCAGACATACAGTAATAATGGGGGAATTAGAATGAATAAACCGAATAATATGCATTTAGAGGAATAATCTACATAATAAAAACTACTGAACAGGTTCTCACAGAAACCTTATAACCTGACATGTTCATCATCATCATCATAATAATAATGATAAAAATAATAATAATGATAAAAATAATAATAACAACAACAACAACAGGATAATAAAATAATAATAAGAAGAAAATAATAATAAAATAACAATAATAATAAAAGGATATTAATAAAATAACAACAGTCAGTCCGTATATCAGTGAGTGTCAGTCAGTCCGTATATCAGTGAGTGTCAGTCAGTCAGTCCGTATATCAGTGAGTGTCAGTCAGTCCGTTTATCAGTGAGTGTCAGTCAGTCCGTTTATCAGTGAGTGTCAGTCAGTCCGTTTATCAGTGAGTGTCAGTCAGTCAGTCCGTATATCAGTGAGTGTCAGTCAGTCCGTATATCAGTGAGTGTCAGTCAGTCAGTCCGTATATCAGTGAGTGTCAGTCAGTCCGTATATCAGTGAGTGTCAGTCAGTCCGTTTATCAGTGAGTGTCAGTCAGTCAGTCCGTATATCAGTGGAGGCCAACAGTATATCAGGGAGTGTCAAATGACAGTATATCAAAGTGGAGTGTCAGCCGTCAGTATATCAAGGAGTGTCAGCCGTCAGTATATCAGTGAGGCCGTCAGTCAAAGGCCAAAAGGAGTACCGTCAGTCCGTATATCAGTGAGTGTCAGTCAGTCCGTATATCAGTGAGTGTCAGTCAGTCCGTATATCAGTGAGTGTCAGTCAGTCAGTATATCAGTGAGTGTCAGTCAGTCAGTATATCAGTGAGTGTCAGTCAGTCAGTATATCAGTGAGTGTCAGTCAGTCAGTATATCAGTGAGTGTCAGTCAGTCAGTATATCAGTGAGTGTCAGTCAGTCCGTATATCAGTGAGTGTCAGTCAGTCCGTATATCAGTGAGTGTCAGTCAGTCAGTATAATAAAGTGGGGAGTGTCAGCTGCCGTCCGTATATCAGTGAGTACAAGCTCGTCCGTATATATCAGGGAGTGTCAGTCCGCTTATCAGTGAGTGCCGGGGCCGTCAGTCCGTATATCAGTGGAGCGTCAATAGTCCGCTTATCAGTGAGTGTCAGTCAGTCAGTCCAGATATCAGTGAGTACACCGTCAGTCCAGATATCAGTGAGTGTCAGCCGTCCGTGATATCAAAGTGGGAGTGTCAGCCGTCAGTATATCAGCGAGTGTCAGTCAGTCATATCAGTGAGGCCAAATGGGTATATCAGTGAGTGGCCAGTCAGTCCGCATATCAGTGAGTGCCGTCAGTCCATATCAGTGAGTGTCAGTCAGTCAGTCCAAGATATCAGTGAGTGCCAGTCAGTCCGGTATATCAGTGAGTGTCAGTCAGTCAGTCCGGTGATATCAGTGGGAGGTCAGTCAGTCCGTGAGTATCAGTGGAGTGTCAGCCGTCCGCTTATCAGTAGTGAGTGTCAGTCAGTCCAGATATCAGTGAGGCCGTCAGTCCGCTTTATCAGTGAGTGTCAGTCAGTCGTCCGTATATCAGTGAGGTCAGTCAACCGTATATCAGTGAGTGTCAGTCAGTCAGTATAATTTCAGTGAGTGTCAGTCAGTCAGTATAACAGTGAGTGTCAGTCGTCAGTATATCAGTGAGTGTCAGTCAAGCCGCATCAGTGAGTGGCTGGGGTCAGTCAGTATCAGTGCGAGTGTCAGTCAGTGAGGTCAGTCAGTCAGTATATCAGTGAGTACCGTCAAATGGGCATATGCGTCAGTGAGTGTCAGTCAGTATATCAGTGAGTGTCAGTCAGTGAGTGTCAGTCAGTCAGTATATCAGTGAGTGTCAGTCAGTCAGTATATCAGTGAGTGTCAGTCAGTGAGTGTCAGTCAGTCAGTATATCAGTGAGTGTCAGTATATCAGTGAGTGTCAGTCAGTATATCAGTGAGTGTCAGTCAGTATATCAGTGAGTGTCAGTCAGTCAGTCCGTATATCAGTGAGTGTCAGTCAGTCAGTCAGTGAGTGTCAGTCAGTCAGTCAGTGAGTGTCAGTCAGTCAGTATGTCAGTGAGTGTCAGTCAGTCAGTATATCAGTGAGTGTCAGTCAGTCAGTATATCAGTGAGTGTCAGTCAGTCAGTATATCAGTGAGTGTCAGTCAGTCAGTATATCAGTGAGTGTCAGTCAGTCAGTATATCAGTGAGTGTCAGTCAGTCCGTATATCAGTGAGTGTCAGTCAGTCCGTATATCAGTGAATGTCAGTCAGTCAGTATATCAGTGAGTGTCAGTCAGTATGTCAGTGAGTGTCAGTCAGTCAGTATATCAGTGAGTGTCAGTCAGTGAGTGTCAGTCAGTCAGTATATCAGTGAGTGTCAGTCAGTATATCAGTGAGTGTCAGTCAGTCCGTGATATCAGGGAGTGTCAGTCAGTCCAGAGTATCAGTGAGTGGCCAGTCAGTCAGTCAGTATGTCAGTGAGTGTCAGTCAGTCAGTATATCAGCGGGAGTGTCAGTCAGACAGTATCAGTGAATCGCCACCAGTCCGTGATATCAGTGGAAAGTGTCAGTCAGTCAGACAGTATATCAGTGAATGCCAGTCAGTCAGTATATCAGTGGAGTGTCAGTCAGCATGTCAGTGTGTCAGTCAGTCCGTATATCAGTGAATGTCAGTCAGTCAGTATATCAGTGAGTGTCAGTCAGTATGTCAGTGAGTGTCAGTCAGTCCGTATATCAGTGAGTGTCAGTCAGTCAGTCAGTATGTCAGTGAGTGTCAGTCAGTCAGTATATCAGTGAGTGTCAGTCAGACAGTATATCAGTGAATGTCAGTCAGTCCGTATATCAGTGAGTGTCAGTCAGTCAGTCAGTATATCAGTGAATGTCAGTCAGTCAGTATATCAGTGAGTGTCAGTCAG